TTCAGCAGGAATTTGCTGATACAGCTGACCTCCATTCTGATTGGTCAGGCATCCATTCAAACTGATCAACTCTTACTCTACCAGTTATTCAATATTTTGAACATCACTCCCGAGTGTGTTTGTAACTCTTTAGATGGAAAATGGATAAAAATTTCAATAAACATGTCATCACAGTCTTCTAGTTTCTTCTTGGAGACATGGCCCCAGACCGTGCCTTGACAAAGGGTTGAGCAGTGGGTATCTCCTGCTCATCATCCTTCCTCCAGGGGACCATGATGTTCAGGTAGAGTTGGCTCCACCTTTCCTCTTGGCTACAGGGGTATTGTGTGACCCAGGCCTGGCCTATTGGAATACTTCACCCCCCTGATAATTGGGTCATTGATGGAACACAGCCAGGGCCTACCAGTCTTTCAAATCCACTGAGGAAGAAGTGTAAAAACAAGGTCATCTTCAAGCTACATCCTTGCCACCATGGAGGAAACCTGCTTGAGAATGATGCTGATTCAGAAGAAAGCCAAGGCACAAGACAGCAGGAGTCTTGATGGCATCATTGGAACTCTTGGGTCTAGCAGTGCCTAGTCCATCCTTTGGACTTTCCCTGTTGTGTGAACCATTACATTTCTTTTTCTTACTGAAGCTACTTTGAGCTGAATTTCTACTGATATGTCAGTAGAATATGAGCTGATAAGTCCTGAGTAATAAGGTGGCCAATAATTGGATGAGGTGACTTCTTAAGGACAATAGTAATATCAACAGCAATAATTATTGTAGCTCACAGATATGTAATGTCAACTTTGTTATAAGCACTTGGCATTTAGTGATTTATTTAGTCCTCACAACAACTATATTGAGGTAGATGCTATAATCTCATGTCGTACATGAGGAGGAGACAAGTAACTTACCCAAGTTCACATAGTTGGTAGGTAGCAGGGCCAGAATTTGAACCCAGGCTGTTGGTTCTGGAATCTGTGCTGTTAACCCTACATTATGTTGCTCCGTCCAAGAGAAGCAATTGATGATGTCCACCCAGATAAAGGATGGTGGCCATCTCTTCTCCTCAAGCTCAGTAAAACTCATTTCTAACAGCTGTTATGATCATTGTTATACCAATTTTTTCTAGTAGAGGCAGTTGAGAGATTGAGGGCTGAACAAGATTTTGGCAGCCTCATGTTGTAAGGGCATGGGGTATAGCATCAAACACTAGAGTCCAGGGCCTGCCACAGGGGAGGACCAGTGAACTCCTTCACTTTGGGGCCTGAAGGGCTGCTCCCAAGGAGTAACTATGAACCAGAAGTAGATAGGCCTTTACCTTTCCAAGGTACTTTTAAAATCTAATCATCTGACATTTTTCACTGGGTTCTATCACTCCCCAAATACTTCAGATCTTCCATTGAGAGTTTTACTTTGATCATCAGATATAAATGGACTTGATTCCTGTGACATCTTAAATTTGTTAACAATGTATGCCAAGGAATGGCGGTTTGGTTGAGTGGAACACCAACCAAGGAGGAGGTTGTTGAATGCCTCAATTGTCCCTGCTTGTTTTCTGTTTCTACTCTTTACCCTTTCCCCAATCCTGGTTCTCCAGGAATATCCCTCCCCAGCTCTGCCAGTTCTCAGCAAGCAGACTGTGATGGAGAAAGTATCTGATTTATTGTACTTTCTCAGGAAAGCTGACCTGTCCACTATGTTGGCTACAGCCCATGGATGCAGGACATGCTTGACCCTAGGGAAAGTCCATTCGAGTGTTGCCCAGGGAGCCATGAGTTGGTCTGTCATGAGAAGTTTGCCGAAGAGATCGTACATATGAATCAAACCAATAAGATTGTTTTGCTGGTAGAGTGTGAATGTAAAAAAATTTAGAGACAACCAACAATTGGAGGAAGACTAGAAATTGAGGGGCACTGAGAGAAAAGCATATTATCAGAATCTATGAGATAGAGGAAGCCATTGGTCAGTAGAAGCTATGGTAGCCCGTGAAGAAGAGAAGTGGGCAGTGCAAGGTTGGTCAATAGCAACAGGAAGAGAAGAAACAGAAACAGGGAAGAGATTATAGGCTAATGGGGGAGACAGACATTAATCAAATAAATCACACAAATGAATATAAAGTTGCAACTCTGATGAGTGTGGTAAAGAATGCTATGTGGTGTTATGAGAGTCCATAGTAGAGAGATTGGACCAAGTGTGAGGAAGTCAATATATGATGAGTGAGCTGAGATCTGAAGGATGGACAAATGTTAACAAGATAAAGAACCAGAGGAGAGAATTCCTGGCACAGGAAACAGATGCAATGCTACTGTAGTTTGTAGAAAACAGAGTGGCTGGGAACCAGCAAGATGTGGTTGAGTGTAGGGCAAGACGAGAATGGAACAATGAGTCAACTGTCTAAAAAAACCAGGAATACAGTGTTTAGAGAATCCAACACTGAATGGTTGGTAAGAGAGGATGAGCTTGAAAGGGAGACAAACAGGAGAAATCAGAGAGGGAGAAGGTAAGTCAGGAAAAGAACTAGCGTTCATTAGAGTTATCAACATGGCAGTCATGGATAACCTTTTTCTGGGAGTTCCTGATTAGGACTTTCGTTTTAAAGAAACAGGTAGTTGCAAGTATGGTTTACTTTAATTCATATGGGCTTTTAGTTTCCTACCCACCTCCTTAAAAAAAAGGTAAGTCCTCTCCCCTAAAATTCTAGATTTGCAACATGAACACAAGTAAAGGATTTGGAGAAGTGTAGACCATTTGTGTAAATTTTTTTTTAAATTGAGGTAGAGTTGTTTTACAGTGTTGTGTTACTTTCTACTGTACAGAGAAGTAAAATAGAGTTCCCTGTGCTATACAGCATGTTCTTGTTAGTTATCTATTTTATACATATTTGTGAATATATGTCAATCCCAGTCTCCCAGTTCATCCCACTCCCCAACCTCCCATTTGCATAAATTTTGCTGCATAGACACTGCCTCTTTTGTGCTTAAAAAAAAAAAAAAACAGTTTTGTAACATGCTGAAGTGTCCCTTGGAAACTTGTATGTGTACAGAGAGCAACCTATTTGAAGGACAGAACTAGCAATAAGGAAGGGAAATATTTGTCATTACTTAAAAATAAAACTGTCATCCATACACTTCGAAACTGTGTGTTTAGGAAGATGAGAACATAAGGAGTAGGGAGAGATTGGGGACCAGAGAAGGAAAAGAAAAGAGGGGATGTATGTGTGCATAAGGCTGATTCACTTCGCTGTGAGGCAGAAACTAACACAGCACTGCAAAGCAATTATACTCCAATTAAAAAAAAAAAAAACAAGAGGGGCTAGAGTATGACCTGTTTTAAAGAAGGCGATTCAGATACAAATGAACGTGTTTACAAAACAGAAACAGACTTACAGATATTGAAAACAGATTTATGGTTACCAAAGAGGAAATGGGGGGGGAAGAATGAGCCAGGAGCTTGGGATGAACATG